TATTTCTACATCATTACGCTATTTCTACATCATTACGCTATTTCTACATCATTACGCTATTTCTACGTCATTGCGGTTTTTCAACGTCATTACACTATTTCAACGTCATTACGCTATTTCTACATCATTACGCTATTTCTACGTCATTGCACTTTTTCAACGTCATTACGCTATTTCTACGTCATTACGCTATTTCTACATCATTACGCTATTCCAACATCAATATGCTATTTCTACATCATTACGCTATTTCAACGTCATTACGCTATTTCAACATCATTACGCTATTTCAACGTCATTACGCTATTTCTACATCATTACGCTATTTCAACGTCATTACGCTATTTCTACGTCATTACGCTATTTCTACATCATTACACTATTTCTACGTCATTACACTATTTCAACGTCATTACGCTATTTCAACGTCATTGCGCTTTTTCAACGCCATTACATCATTACACTATTTATACTCCATTACGCTATTTCTACATCATTACGCTATTTCTGCATCATTGCGCTTTTTGAATGCCATTACATCATTACACTATTTATACTCCATTACGCTATTTCTACATCATTACGCTATTTCTACATCATTACGCTATTTCTACATCATTACGCTATTTCTACGTCATTGCGGTTTTTCAACATCATTACACTATTTCAACGTCATTACGCTATTTCTACATCATTACGCTATTTCTACGTCATTGCGCTTTTTCAACGTCATTACGCTATTTCTACATCATTACGCTATTTCTACGTCATTGCGCTTTTTCAACGCCATTACATCATTACGCTATTTCTACATCATTATGCTATTTCTACATCATTACGCTATTTCTACGTCATTGCGCTTTTTCAACGTCATTACGCTATTTCTACATCATTACGCTAATCTACATCATTACGCTATTTCTACATCATTACACTATTTCTACATCATTACGCTAATCTACATCATTACGCTATTTCTACATCATTACGCTATTTCTACATCATTATGCTATTTCTACGTCATTACGCTATTTCTACATCATTACGCTATTTCTACGTCATTGCGCTTTTTCAACGTCATTACGCTATTTCTACATCATTACGCTAATCTACATCATTACGCTATTTCTACATCATTACACTATTTCTACATCATTACGCTAATCTACATCATTACGCTATTTCTACATCATTATGCTATTTCTACATCATTACGCTATTTCTACGTCATTGCGCTTTTTCAATGTCATTACACTATTTCAACGTCATTACGCTATTTCTACATCATTACGCTATTTCTACGTCATTGCGCTTTTTCTTCATCATTACCTATTTTAGTGATTTACCGAGCTCAATCGGATCGATTAAGGTGTTTTACATGAAGCTTTCAGTGCGATTGAGCCGTCAGTCCCGTTACTAGCGGATGATTGGTTGCATGTAAACGTAGTCACTGTGACAAACGGACATGTGACGCACAGAACATCAGCAGCAGGAAGTGAACAAAGGAAGATCTATGTGAGGATGTGCTTGTTGTTAGTAAAACAGGTTAGTGCTGGTTATATATCCCAGAGAAAGACTTTAAGATCTGAGATGTTTCTCCGGAGAGATCACTGGAACTCCAGACGCTGTAATGGGACGCATGTCGAGCCAAATATCAATTCCCAGCTCTAAATGGAAAACAACGCCTGACAGCATCCCTCAGCCGTTGCCATGGTGACGGCCTGACAGCATCCCTCAGCCGTTGCCATGGTGACGCAGGACGGTTGCCGTGTTCGGGTTTCTGTTTCGCCGCAGGCGATTCTCAAGAAACGACAACAACAGAACCCCGAATTCTTGCTTTGATAAATCATGATTACAAGATTTTTAATCTTATTTTAATGCCATAATTTTGAACTTTTCCCCTATAATTTCAACTTTTTATCTCATAATTATGACTTTTTATCTCATATTACGACTTAATATTTCATCACTATGACTTTTTATGGCAAACTTATGACTGTCAATTTCAAACTTTGTCTCGAGATTATTGTTTATTATATTATAATTTTGACTTTTTGTCCCATAAATATTACTTACTATCTCATAATTGTGGCCTTTCAATCATAATTTTGGCTATCTGATAATTATGACTTAGTATTTTATCATTTTGACGTTTGTCTCATAATTGACTTTAATCTCATAATATTCACATACCAAATCATAGTTCTAACATAGAAATGTATCATTTATTTTTTTGTCAATTTTTAAAATTATGAGATTAAATAGTCAATTATGAGATAAAATAGTTAATTATGAAACAAGTCGAAATGATGAAATACTTAGAAAAAAAGTCATAATTGTGAAATAAAAAATGTAATTGACAATTTTTTTTAATTATAAGATAAAAGTTCAAAATTATTGCATAAAAATAAGATATAAAATCATATTTTAATGTCATAATTATGATTTAGCATGTCAAAATTATGAGATTAAAGTAAATTATGAAACAAATGTCAAAATGATAAAATACTTAGTCATAATTGACTACTTAATCTCATAATTGACTATTTAATCTCATAATTTTACCTTTTATCCCATAATGACTATTTACTATATAATAATTATGATTTTTCAATCATTATTTGGACTATCTCATAATTATGACTTTGTTTTTTATCATTTTGATGTTTGTCTCATAATTGACTATTTAATCTCATAATTTTGACTATCATAATTATGACATTATTTTATAATTTTGACGGTTCTCTCATAATTAACTATTTTATCTCATAACTGAGTATTTAATCTCCTAATTTTGACTTAATCTCCTAATTCTGATGTAGCATGTCATCATCCGTTAGCATGTAAGCGGCGGACAAGAGCTTCAGCTGGACTGGGAATACTGAAAGTGCTTTACAGCGGATGAGCTTGTCATGCGGCGCGCTCTTTAGTTCAGGGTCTGCCGGGTCACATCGATTCCTTCGACGGACATCAGCACTGAATAAAAAGCAGCTAATTTAGTGACTCCTGCTCCGGCGTTTATTTCCCGCAGTAAATGTGTGTATTCAGCGCGCAGATTCGGCTAATGGAAAGTGACCTTCTGCGGGAAGCAAAACAGCAGGATCAGACGAGGCTCATCAGACGAACGCAACCCTGAAAATCCTCAATTACCTTTTCAACCTGCATCCATTCACAGCTGAAAGCAATCGACACACACACCTAAACATGCAGTCGCGGGTCACACACACACACACACACACACCAGACAGCACTACAAACCAGCAAGGGAAAAGTTGCACAGACTTTATACAACAACAACAACAACAACATGTCCAGCTCATATTTCACTCTAAAAAAAAAGAAATAAAAAATGAAGGAATTACATTTGTCATAAGAACATTATGAATAGTGATTGAAGAATAATATATTTATTATATTTAAGTATTTGGGAGTGCTGATAGAGTCAAAATCATCCTTTAAAAAACACGTTAAAACAATTGTGAAAACTGTAAATGTTAATATACGAATAATTTAATTTTAGATAAATATAAGTTTTTAAATTTTTGCTAATTTCTAATGATTTAAATCTATAAGGTTGTACATGGTCTGGCGCCTCCACCATTGAGTCAAAAGTCCAGTAGTGTTGCCGGGTCTCGAGTGACGAGAGCCACTATGAGAGGTGAGTGTGTCTCGGCGTTTAGGCGGCCCGTCCTGACACATCACTGTTAATGAGGGAAAGCACAAGTCTTCCTACCTTTAGGAGTCGTTTAAAAGTGTGGCTGAGGGACACACAAACATCTGATCATGTTTAGTTAATCATTATATATCAGATGTAAAACAGAGTTAGTGCATTACAAAAAGGGATACAATTATCAGTCTAACATGGGTTGTGTAATAAGAGTCAGTCTAACATGGGTTGTGTAATGCGGGTCAGTGCAATATCAGGTTAGTTAGGGCATGCGCACAATTGTGGTTTGTGCAATATAGTTGATGCTTTCCTATTTTCTATATGTGTTTTGTTGTCCACTCTTGTTGTTACCGTCTGTTCTAACATGATGTGATCACTGTTCTTGTCCTTGTTTCTCGGTGTATAGTGTATCTGTATGTATTTATTCATCTGTGTGTAACATCAACCTGCCAGGGGGTCTGCAGATGGAAATTAGCCTAAGACTATAATCTGACATATTTACATTTGTGAAAATGTTCATTAATATGTATTGTCCCTTTTGTTTTTCAAATAAATAAATAAATAAATATATTTTTAATGACGTTATTTTCACGACAATTAAACAAATGTCCTCAATTCTCATGACTGTAATGCATCCAGATGCTGCAGTTTTGAGATTTCTCAAAGACGATCCTCATCACTACAAAATCATGATTTATTTATTCAAATCTGCATAAAATAAGTTCAACACATTTTATTGGTATTTGCAGTACAAATGAAATAAACAATTACTTTTAATAAAAAATATACAAAATTAATAAAAAAAATAAAAGAGAAAATATTATAAAAATAAAAAATAATATAAATAAAAGTATAAAATATTTGTATAATGTATAAATTCCATAAAATATAAATATAACAATAATAGAAAATATAAAAATAATAGAAAAAAAATATATATATATTTTTCTTTTTAATTTTGGAATGAAGTATGATCTGGACATGAGCACACACACAAAGCAGAAACTGGAATGGTTTAACAATCACACACGCACACACACACACACACACACACACACACACACACACACACACACACACACACACACACACACACACACACACACACACACACACACACTAAACCTACCCATCACACAAAACTTATAAACTTAAACTTATAAACTCATTCTGTATGATTTATAAGCCGTTTTCCTCATGGGGACCAAAAAATGTCCCCACAAGGACAAGGATTTTAGATATTGGCATCTTTTTGGAGACATTGTGTCCTCATATGTAGGGTTTTCCAGGACACACACACACACACACTGATGTGGACGGTGGTAGTTCTGACCTGTTAGTTGGCTGTCGCCGGCAGCGGGTGCGATTCGCACATATGGTGTGGTGAGCTGTGTCACAATAATGGCAGCTAGAAGAAGAGAAGAGATCCAGCCAACATGCAGAGAGAGAGAGAGAGAGAGAGAGAGAGAGAGAGAGAGAGAGAGAGAGAGAGAGAGAGAGAGAGAGAGAGAGAGGCATTCCTTCATCTACAGGTTATTAATGCAGAGAGAGAGACACAGGCTCCACACAAACCCTCGCGAGCGGCCGCTTCACAGACAATCACATGATCAATCCTTCGCTAACATCAGAAGTGTGGAATTGTTAGCGTAGCAACTGATCTATAGCGAGCGACTGTGATGGACATCCGTCAAGCTTCGGTCAGAGCGGCGGCTCACGAGGGCTTTAGAAACGAGCTCGAGAAAGACAGAAAGTTTTCTTCACATGCTCTGTGAGAATTAATAGCTTGATATTGAAGGTCAGTGAATTATTGCATGTACATGTTGACATGTGTGTGGAAAACACAACTGAGTTCCTCAAAAAATATGAAAATATACCCTTCAAGACATTCGGTAACCAGTGGAGACAGAAAAATCAACTTAGTTCAAAGAGAAAACAAGATTATTGTTCTGACTCCACTGACAGATATTTGTTCTTGTTTTAAGCACAAACTCAATTCATTTTGATAAATCTTTCATTAAACAAGGCTTAATATCTTCAGGCATGGTGCTTCTCCAGTAAATTAATCTTAATTTAAGAATGTTTAGATGTTTGTGCTGGAAAACAAGACAGAAACACTGAGGAAGAAGCTCATTTAATAAGTGTGTGTGTGTGTGTGATGATTGACAGGTATAAACGGGTATAAAGGCCATCAAAGCTCGTTGTAGAGACTGCAGTTTGAAGGACAGAATAACAGTGTTTCTACACCCGTCCTTCTCACATAATCACAGGTTCAAGGATTAAATCCTCATCTAAAACATCTCAATGTGTCGGTAAGCACGAGTTCCCTCTCAAGGTCGATTGACGCTGAGGGAACGCTCCGCGCGATGACGTCTCGAAGCACATGTGAGCGGCAGAGGCGGGTGACGTCACCAACCAGGGAACTATAAAGCCGCGGCAGCGCTAGCTTCGTAACAGCCTGAAGTAGCGCTCATTGTGAAACTGTCACTGTCATATATGGTGTTGTTTGTCTTTATATCTCTCTAGTCATGGCGAGCAAGCAGCAGTTTAGAGTGTGTGTGCACCCCTGCCCGCGTTGTTTAATGGGTGGGGACACACACATCCTCTGTGTATCTTGTTTGGGTGAGGAGTCAGCGCTCGAGGGACTACTGAGGAACTAGATGTTATCAGCGTCGACGCGAGAGATGCTGAGGACTCAGTCTCAGGCGTTCGAGGAGCGGTTGAGGTTGTGACGAGAGCGTTTGAGTATTGACTGGCCAGCAGGACGTTCCTTCCAATAGCATGCCAGCAGCCTAACCACCCTGCAGCCCAAGACTGGAAGCAGGGTTGAGCCTGGTTAGTACCTGGATGGGAGACTCCTGAGAAAACCAGGTTGCTGCTGGAAGAGGTGTTAGTGAGGCCAGCAGGGGGCGCTCACCCTGGGGTCTGTGTGGGTCCTAACGCCCCAGTGTAGTGACGGGGACACTATACTGTCAAAGAGCACCGTCCTTTAGATGAGACGTTAAACCAACATTAGACTCTCTGTGGTCATTAAAAATCCCAGGATGTCCTTCGGAAGAGTAGGGCTGTAACCCCGGTGTCCTGGACAAATCTGCCCCTTGGCCTCTGTCCATCATGGCCTCCTAATCATCCCCATATACTGATTGGCTTCATCACTGTGTCTCCTCTCCACCAGTAAGCTGGTGTGTGTTGGGCGTTCTGGCGCACTATGGCTGCCGTCGCATCATCCAGGTGGAGCTGCACACTGGTGGTGGTTGAGAAGATTTCCCCGTTCTATGTAAAGTGCTTTGAGTATCCAGAAAAGCGCTATATAAATGTAAAGAACAAATTAAAAGCAAACTGGACGAACGCTTTCTACCATCACGGTCACAACCTCAACGCCGGGGTCTACCGCTCTACCGAGGTGTCGAGATCGTGGGAGAAAACGGTTTCGTACAGAGTGTATAGCGCTTAAACATCAAACTATTCCTCTATATCGAATTAAAAAGAGCACGGTTAAGGGGGGATGCTAAAAGTGGAAGAGACGCTATCTCCCCCTGAGGCGGCATCTTCCCTAAAGGCCCCAGTATTACCCACTAGGCCAGTCAGAACCACACCTTCGCTAGTGGGTAAAGCTAACTCAGCCGCTGGTCAGGCTGAAGCATGCCTTCACACTGTCATTTCTGCAGGCCTACCAAGCACAGGAGACATGGACGAGGGCGGGGGAGTTTGTCCTGACATAGTTTGCGAACTACGTCGAGCCACAGATTTATCTCTCAGGGCCACCAAGGAGACGGCTAAATCCATCGGCCGCTCTATGGCAGCCCTGGTGGCCACTGAGAGGCATCAACCTCAGCAATATTAAAGAGAAGGACAAGAATTGTCTGATCGATGCGCTCCTGTCACCTTTTGGCCTCTTCGGCGACGCTGTTAATTCAGTCGTCGAGAGGTTCCAGGAGTCAGGCAAGGAGACGGCCCCTTTCCAGAAGCTCTTCCCCCGTCACTCTCATATCTAATATCCCAAACGTCTAAAGCCAGCTCCTCACACCGTGCCACCCAGAAGCAGAGCGTAGCCTCCCGTGCTCCCCCTCAGACAGGCTGGGGACAGGGAGGGCGCTCTCACCCGCAGTCTTCAAGGGGTAAGACGGAGACGTGAGCTCCAGGGCGCAGAGGTCTCCGGCGAGCACATATCTCAAGGTCCACCCGGAAACGTAGTGGCCTCGGGATGCCCGCCCCCTCCGAGGAGGGTCCCAGAGCGGTCAGTTCGGTCGTCCCCTGCTGGGTCGCCGCTACAGGGCGTCGGGCTGATTGCACAACAACGACCAGAAGCCAGTCTCGAGAGGTTGGTACCACTAGTAGAATTTCTGTCAGCGTGGAAGCTAATGCCAAATGTTTCTCGTTGGGTCCTGCATGCAGACCATAGAAAAAGGGCATCAAGGTCTCGCCCGCCCAGGTTTATGGGGGTCCAATCCACCGTGGTGGGCCCTCGAGCAGGTTCGGCTCCCTAACAAAGGGTCCCCTGCATCTAAGCAGAGAATGAGCATGGGTGGTCGAGGCTATCTCACTCGCTTATGAGTCGGCCGGTCAGCCTTCCCCTATGGCTGTCCGTTCCCACTGGACTAGGAGCAAGGCGGCCTCCAAGGCCCTCCTGTCAGGAGTTGCTCCCCCAGATGTCTGTGATGCGGCAGGCTGGTCCTCACCGCACACATTCGTAAGGCTCTACTCTTTGAACCTGGACTCTACACCGGGGTCCCAGGTGCTCTCGTCCTAGTGCTGCTCTTATTATTTCACACTGGATAGACACCTCTCGCTAAGGTGGCGTTGGTATAGACGTTCCCTCAGCCTCAATCGATGAAGCGCGAGTTCCATTGAAAGGGAACGCCTCGGTTACGACTGTAACCTCGGTTCCCTGAAGAGGGAACGGGACGCTGCGTCGCCTTGCCATGTCTATTTTTTCAAGACATCACGCGAAGCGTTCCCTCAATGGATGTAGCGTCTCATTCCCTCTTCAGGGAACCGAGGCGTTCAGTATTTCTTTACAAAACGTGCAGTTTACGACAGAACACCCTGTCAATCATTTTTCTGTGTGTGTGTGTGTGTGTGAGAGTGTGAGTAACTGTGAGTGTGTTTGTGTGTGTGTGTGTGTTTGTGTGTCTGTGTGAGTGAGTGTTTGTGTGTGTGTGTGTAAGTGTGTGTGTGAGAGTGAGTGAGTGCGTGACTGTGTGTGTGTGTGTGTGTGTGTGTGTGTGTGTGTGTGTGTAAGTGTGTGCGTGAGAGTCTGTGCGCGCCGTGAATGCTCAGCTAGTTTTCCATTCATCCCCGCAGACATGCTGGAATCATTTAGGGAACATGTTTCAATCAGTCACTCGATTACTCTCACACAGACCCACCTTTAGTGGCCACACGAACACAATCGATCTTAGTTTCCTGGGGGGGGGGGGGGGAGAGAGAGAGAAAGAGAGAGAGAGAGAAAGAGAGAGAGAGAGAGATTAGATTAGTGAATATGAACATGATGATCCACTCAAACACATTCAGAGCATTTTCTTCAAAATTACTGCATGTTTTCGCCTGTGATCTTGACAAAAATGTGTGTTTTTTTCTCTATTTTCATGGCTTTACAGATAATCATGATGTTAGTGTTTATTATATCCTCATAATATATTTGTCTCGTTTTCCTCTAAAAACACATAAAAGTAATTAAAACAAGATCAATTTACTTCAGAAGCAGAACTGCATGAGATCAGGGAATATTTCTTAAATGAAGTTAATTTTTTGCTCGATTGTGAAAGAGCTTTCCTGCGCGCTGTGAGACTTACACGTAACAAGAGAACAATTGACAAACAAACAAACTTAATTCAAGAATTATTGTCTAAAAACAAGCATGCATGATTACCTGGCTCCTCAAAGTAAACAATCTTGTTTTTAAGGCCGTTTATATGTTTATCTTGAGAATCAAGAACAAGTTCTCTGGAGATGATTTACCAATATTAAAGCCATACAGTGAACATCTGCCGTATAAAATAATCATGATGTTTACCAGTAAAAGACTGCAAAAATAATAAACCTGCACTGCAAAGAATTATGTTCTTACTTATACTTTTGTCTTGTTTTCCAGCACAAATATCTAGAGAATCTGAGATGAATGAATCTAATGCACATCATGAGAGAAATAAGAGATCATGAAACGATCAAACGCAACAGAGATAAATATAGAGATGAAGCCGTTGCATGACGCAAACTACGCTTTCCACGACAAAACACACTTCACATATTTAAAAAATGCTTTTTTAATGGGGAAAAAAAAAGTATACATAAAGAATAATGTTAGATTAATAATTGCATTTGATTGATACTACTTTGAACATGTTATTAGAAATTCTGGTTTACAATAAGGTTCATTAGTTAGAATGAACAATACTTCTACAGCATTTATTAATTAGTTATTATTAATTTCAACATTTACTAATACGTTATTAAAATCAAAGGTTGTATTTGTTAACATTAGTTATGAACAAACAATGAACAGCTGGATTTATATTAACTAACATTAACAAAGATTAATAAATACTGTAACATATGCTCATGTTTACTAATGAACCTGATTGTAAAGTGTTACTGAAATACTTCCACAGCTTTTATTGATTACAGTTTTAATGTTCATTTCTACATTTATTAATACTTTGAGCCGCTGCGGTAGAATGTATAAAGCGGTGTAATCTGTGGAGTGTGTGATGAATGCGAGCGCACGCAGCGGCGCGACTGAAGTGAGGAACATTAGATGTTCACGGATGCATTATTAACACTCCAGCCTAATTGGAAATTAGAATTATCAGCCATCTCTCTTTTTTATATGCTAATTGACCCTAATGAAAAGACGATTCTTTATTTCAGCGCAGGAGAAGGAGACGAGCTCGACATTATATCACTCACTGAGTCTGAGAGGAGAAGAGAGTGTGTGTGTGTGTGTGTGTGAGTGTGTGTGTGTGTGTGTGGTATTTGCGCTGGGTGCCGCTGGTCTCCAGTAAGGTCAGGTAAAGGTGTTCAGAAGAGGTTATTAGAGAAAACAAGCTTCACTCCTGAGTCTCCGGGAAATCACTTCTCGTGGCCTTTCAGTGTTTATCAGCGGCGCAGTGAGAAGTGTCGACACACACACACACACACACACACACACACACACACACACACACACACACACACACACACACAACACACACACACACACACGGAAAACACAACATCTGCTCTAAATGCTTTATTGGCAGAGTAACGCTTATATGATCACTTCTGTGGGGTTTATTAATAAGGATAATCAGTAACATTAATTAATGCATTATCTAACATGAACTATCAATGAGCAATACATTGTTTTAGAGTATCTGTAAATGTCAGTTCATATTTTTTTTATTGTTAATTAATGTTAGTTCACAATATATTAACTAATGTTAACAGATATGACTTTTGGTTTAAAAGATGTATTAGTAAAGGTTGAAATTAACTATTAATGGAGATGAATTGTTGCCCAACACTAAACTGAACATGAACTGAGATTAATAAAGGATGTGGAAGTGTTTATTATCAGTTCATGTTCATGTAAAAAGATCATCTAAACTACTTAAACTTTCAAATATATTAATTAAATAAATTTGTGCCCATGTAATGTAAATTAAACTTCTTAAATATTCCAATAAATATTCAATAATGACATTTATTATTATTCTTTATTTATTAAACCTGTGAGTCTGTTTAACTACATGTGTTTTCTTAAAATTAAAAATTACATTTACACTTACAAAATGACATCATTTATTAATAAGCATCAATCAAGAGTCGGAATGTCTGTTAAACGCACTGAAGCTTCTCCAGATGAAGATAAACACACTCTCTGCTAATGAGCTGAACTCCTCCTCGACCTCGACGAGCATCGAGCGGAAACACACGTGCAGCTTCTTAAGGGAGATAATTGGAGGAGTAGCGTCGGGCTGAAGGTCGCCGGAGCGCGTGGACTTTAGTTTTCCTGTAAGCGAGTGTCACCGCGGAGAACAGGAGCGCGTCCGGCACTCGCGGCGCTCGGCTAATTGGGAGCAATTAAAGAACAGCACGAGGCGAGTGACGAGAAACACTGGAGGAGGCTTTAACTTCAGCTGACCACGACGACTCAAACTCACAGCTTTATTTTAATCTGAAGTCACTCTTTTAGGCAATAAATAACGATAAAACATGAAGTCGGCTTTCATCGCAAAGGGCAGAAACTGACAGCGTTTAAATGATTCTCGGTCCACTGCTAATCACCAGCTCGAGTTTCTCTCCACAGCGGCTGCTTTTCTCCGGCCGAGACCTTTAGAGTCGCTGAACACGGAGATACACATGTGACAAAACATTAACTCATCAATATCCCCAGCTGATTCATCACAGTGCATTAAGACTATGGTTTTGCATTACACGTTTAAATATGCAAATGACCCATTGTCTACTTAAATATGCACTCATTTGCATACATTCCCAGAGCAGAAATCTGAACGTCGGATAAAGCCAGGCTCAAAACTCTTGTTTGATTTTGTTGAGACATTAAAGGTTTTTGTTTTTGTTCGTGTGCTCTCACCCCATTGGCTGAGCTGACGGCCTGATACTCGTGATGTCATGTGTTCGTGTGCTCTCACCCCATTGGCTGAGCTGACGGTCTGATACTCGTGATGTCATGTGTTCGTGTGCTCTCACCCCATTGGCTGAGCTGACGGCCTGAGGCTCGTGATGTCATGTGTTCGTGTGCTCTCACCCCATTGGCTGAGCTGACGGCCTGATACTCGTGATGTCATGTGTTCGTGTGCTCTCACCCCATTGGCTGAGCTGACGGCCTGAT